CTTGTTCATTTGTGGCGAAGTATGCCTAAGCCTTCTCAACTCTTAGAGTGGTGGTCAGATGAAGAAGTGGATCCCTGGTGTGGCAACTATGCTACAAGTTTTGGTCTCTATACAATGCCTAATTTTGAAATCGAAGCCCTATTTTAATGAGCCCGGACATGCAAATATGAGTGATTCAACAAGTAGAGAAAAGTGTTCTCTGGCATACAATGAGAATACTTTTATCCATTCTCTCCAAATGATGGTGTACAGTATGAGGCAACCACCGAAGGTAAGATAAAATTGAGACCCTCTCTATGTAATACTGTTATTATTAGGCCTTTCGATCAGTGCATGTTTTCTTGGTTAATTTCAATTTATTCTTTCCTTTTGAGTAACAACTTCATTATATATTGATTTGAGTTTTGTATAATGTTACTCGTAGCACTACGAGAACTNCACCGAAGGTAAGATAAAATTGAGACCCTCTCTATGTAATACTGTTATTATTAGGCCTTTCGATCCTTGCATAATTTGATGGTTAATTTCAATTTATTCTTTCCTTTTGAGTGACGACTTCATTATATACTGATTTGAGTTTTGTATTATGTTGCTCATAGCACTTCGAGGACTTTGTGGTAGGGCATTTTTGCAAACGTTTTCGTGATATTCTGATAGCATGTAAAGCCTATATAGAAGGCGCTCGGGTGGGTTGTATTGTCAAAGGAGGTGTTCAAGATGTTAACGAAGGTAATAAGAGCTGCTCACAAGATTTTAAGGCCAATTTGGCACGGTTGATCACTACATTAGTAAATGCATTTTCTCAAATTGGCGTGAAGGACCGTCGAGAGTTCCTTTGTTTAGCTCAAAAGGCAAATGTACAAGTTCCTACTGCACCCGGGGTTCGAACTTTTATTACTAAGATTAATTAAATTAAAATTTAGACTTGGGCAACGTATTTTGCATGCAAGACATATTCATTTTGAATTTTGTTTTTGACTTAGATTGTATTTAAAATTGCAAATCAATGAACGTCAATGACTTCAGGATGCTCCCCATGCATTTTAGCAAATAAAATGTCTTAAATATTGTATCTTTGACTTTGTTTATCCTTCTAATATTTATTTTCCTATATTCTGTATTATCCTATTACCTTGTCATTCAATTTTTCGTAGTTGTATACAGTTAGTTGAATAATTGCATTTACTGAGATAATTTAAATTGTTCATATCTAACATTCAAGATATAATTCACGATAATTAATATATTTAACACACTAACATTACCTTCAAAATCACCCAACCTGTGCATCGCACGGGCAAAAACTAGTATATATATAAAGAGACAATTTTATTTTAAACTTTCAACTTACAACGAATCCTAATTTACTAGAACTTTGAGACCGACAATGAATATTGTTTCCACGTCATGAAAACGGTGGATGTAGACGATAAAATCACAAGTACTTTTCATTTAAATTGGAGAAAAAAAGTCGGTAGTTTTATGATTTTGCCCTCTAGCTTTGAGTGGTTGAAATTCGAATACGATTTTAACATCCACATCGACGATTTTGGTCACGTGTGTATCAAAATTTACATACTTAAATAGATTGAGGACCTAGAACCCTACTTTGATTTTCCCAATAAATAAGCATAATAACTTGAGCATGCAGGTCATATTTGTCAATATAAGCATCTTTTAACATGCTTATAAGCTTAGCCAAACATTATATTAATCATGTAATAAGGATATATCAATTCTCTTATAAACATAAAATTAAAATTATATAATTAAGACAAGAAAGCAATCAAGATAAAACTAAGCGTGGTGCCTTCTAAATATTAAGAGTGACAGACTTTATACACTACATTTTGCTTGCAGGTTTACTGAACAATGAATGCCTCCCTTCAGCAACCACCTCCCCATTTGCTTTGTTTCTTATAAGAACATTTGTTCCAGAATAGTTACCTTTCCGACCTAAGACTCTTGAGGTGATCTCTAGTTCATCCTGCCAATACAACCATAAAACTAGTAAGACGACTTTATATAGAGCCTCGATCGAATAGTTACAAAGGTATACTCAACGTGACAATTTTTTCTTCTTTAATCCTATCTATCAATCTCCAATCGGTGATACCGAACATATTGTGAGGTCCTCACACAATCCCAGGCTCAAAACTGACCTATATCGGTTATTTTTTTTCACTATTGTCCTGTCATTATAGGGGAAATATCATCGCTTGCTACATGTTATAGCAGTATTGATTAATTGACATATAACGTGTAGGGTCTGGTAATTCAAAAATTTCATACAATAATTTGGTAAAGAATAATGTTATTTGCCATCAATGATGACCCAGTGACACTATATAGGGTCTACTAGTCTAGTAATACTTCGCCATACCTGAATTATTTTGTGTACAGAAATATTTGAGGATTGCAACATAAAAAAGGGCCAACCTTTGGCTTAAAAACAAATGTCGCTCCATTAGTTGATCTTCAATATTACCCGACCCTAAGCACGGAGGAGGTGTTTGTAAACTACCCTATGATTATAGTTCTGACAAAAATCACCAGCTTGCTCATGAAAACAAGTTAGATGCACAGGCAATTACTATACGAAAATGCAACCTCTCTGGTTTGCATCTATGCAACAATGGCAGCATTGACAAATAGTCGGCTGCCTCATGTTATAGCATCCAAAAACAAGAAATGTGAAGCTAAAAGGTGGAATACACAGGTGCATGAATATATCCCATGACGTACAACTTCAACTGTTTTCAATATTTTGCATATTGCAATGACTAATAATCAAAAGGATACATTGTTATTTTTCAAGTGCATATTGCAATGACTAATAAGCAAAAGGATACAACTTCAACTGTTCAATATGTTGCATATTGCAATGACTATTAAGCAAAAGGATACATTATTATTTGTCAAGTGCCTTAAGCAATCATGACCATAGTGAATCAGTAATAAACAATCATAATCCATCAGATTAGGAAAACATCCACTAACCAACATGTTCATGTGGTACCTACTTTAGTAAAACTCATTAAAAAATTCAATTCAATGAGGAGCAGCATTAGTAATATTATACGTCACTAGAATTGTTTATAAACCTGATGCAATCCTCTTTTCTCATCAACAATGCATCAAGCAAGCTTTTCAGGTAATGCATTCTAAATAGCTCGTTCGTTTGTGCTAAAAGAGCAATCTCTTGCAAAATTTACTCAACTGAGAAGGGAAACAGAAACATGAAAGATGTTTCCACCTTCCATGGTGTCACGGATTGCAGCTTTACTTAAGCCCCGTGACCCTCTTGCAGCCACAGTTTGCCCAACTTTGGCAGCACATTGTAAATATTTCATTTAATTGTAAAATAGTTGTAAATTAGAAAATTTTAGTATGATTCCTCGGCCAAAAGACGTCTACTCCCGTCATTTGGGTTTTTGTTGCTAAGTCTATTATAGGGGGTATATGACTTTCAAACATCTTTCAAGCTTTTCTAGTGTTCGCCCCCTGCACTAGCCATTGTAATTTCCTGCTTTCAATC